AAATATTATTTTAGCGACGATTTTGTTAAGAAAAAAAAAGTCTGTAAAATCATCCCCAAGGGATTTTTAAGTTTTTGAAAAAAAAAAAAAAAAAAAAAAAAAAAAAAAGCTAGCAGATTACTCCTTTTTAGGGGATCATACCAAGTAAGTTAGTCTGGTTGGAAATCAAGAAAAGGGCCGATGTCTCTTTCTTGGAATATGTGAAATAAATTTAGCAATTTAACTAAATACAAATATATGCATTGTGTAATCCACTCAGAATTAAACAGACAAAAGGTATGCTTGCTTTGGAATGATTTTAGGCATTGTACAACCTTGAATCACTTGAGCATGTAATAACTAATAAATAATGCAGATCCATGTGATTATTAAAATGACTGTAGCTGAGAGCTCTAATTTTCCTGTCTCGAAACTGTATAAGAACTCATGTGATTAAGTTCACAGTTTATTGTTTGTCTGTTTAGTATTTTAGAAATATACCAGCACTACTAATTAACTAATGTCTTTTATTTATTATATTATGATAAAGTAAAAATTTCACTTGCATTAAGTCTAAAGTGAGAAGGTAATTACCGGGAGGAGAATGAGCAACTTTGACAGGCGGTTTGTGCAGGAAAGCACAGTGCCGTGTTGTTTACAGCTTTTCTAGAGCAGCTGTGCGACCAGGGTAGACAGTGTTGAAATTCAATACCAAATACAGTAAAAACAAATGTAAATAAAAGAAAACACATCATCAATAAAGCTGTTACTATGCGTGACCGTATTCTATTCGGTGATCCATCAATCTCTAAAGAGCAAGCCCAGTCAGATGAGAAATCCCACATAAATTTTATGGTGGAAGTGACTGGGCACAGTGGGGGTCAATGGCTGACATAGCCATAAACTTTCTTTCCTGAAACTGAGAATGCCCTTTTACCAACCTGAGTATCTAGTACGGTGAGCTGTTGCCTAGGAGATCTGCCATCTTTCAGAAAGCCAGAATCCACTCTGGGCTTGGTAGCCCATGCCCTGCTTTGGAGCTTGTAACTGAAAGGAACAGTGGGGGTGTGCACTGAATTCTCTGCTGAAGCACTCCAGGGATTTCCAGGACCACCAGTAAGTCATTCTGAGAGATGCAGCAATACTGTGGAACATCAAATTTCTTCACCAACATACCAAAATCAAAATTATAAGTGATTAGAAAAAAAAAATGCAAGTGTGTATAGGAGTGGGTTGAGTTGTGTCTCTTACATCACCAAGAAATGATTAAGAAAGAATAATTCAAAATCCTAATTCCCATTCAAATGTGACCGAGTTGACAAGGCAAAATGAGTCAAATAATGACTTCCAGTTAGTCAAATTAGTGAACATAGCCAAGGATGAAGTTGGTCTCTGATTATTTTTGTCATTTGTCTTAAAGGCAAAGAGGCCCATCTGCGTGAAACACAAGCAGTCCATTGGAGGCCTCGACCACCAAAGCAGTACAGTCAACCCTCGAGCAATGTGAGGGTCTGGGGACCCAACCTCTCTCCCTACCCACGCAGTCAAAAATGCACATTTAACTTTCGACTCCCCCAAGACTCCACTACCAATAGCCTATTGTTGAGGAGAAGCCTTACTAATAACCAGTTGAATGACACGTATTTTGTATGTTTTATGTGTTATATACTGTATTCTTAAAGTGAGCTGGAGAAAAAAATGTTATTAAGAAAATCATAAAGAAGAGAAATACATATACTAGTCAATAAGTGGAAGGAGATTATCATAAAGGTCTTCATCATCTTCTTCATATTGCATAGGCTGAGGAGGAGGAGGAAGAAGGGTTACTCTCACTGTCTCAGATGTGGCAGAGATGAAAGAAAATTTGCACATAAGTGGACTTGCTTGGTTGAAACCCTTGCTAATCAAGGGTCAATTGTATATTCTGGCTCAGACTCATTACTGAGATATTTCTTAAACTTATGAATGCATGATTTAAAATTAGCATATCAACAGCCAATCTCCTTTTTCTATGGCTCTTTTGCCCTTTGCAAGAGTTTTCCCACTCATTGGAAAAGTGCTTTGATTGAACCACATAAAATTGCCAATATTTGACCTGCTTTGCCTACAAAATGCTAATTTCATATGGTTCAACCAACCTGTATGAGAGAGACAATGAGGTTTTGACTATAACTTTATGTGTAATTTCAGATAGAATTAGAAGTACTTTACAAAGTCCTAGGAGAGAATGCTCAAAGGAATAATCAATTATATTTGTTTACAAGGTACCCCACTTAGAGTTAGTCCTAGATAGATATGTTATATTAAACAAGGAATATTTTTAATTGCCAGGAAATCCCAGTAGCCATTCATATTTCTTTGTTATAATAAAAAATTTTATGTGAACATTTGTAATAAATAGGTTATCTGCTGGAACAGAGTTTTTGTCAATCATAGATATCCTCATGTTTACTTGTTAAATAGAGATTGACCTGCATTTTCTTATTCCAAACATAATTAATTGTCATTGTCTCCTCTTCTTCTCCTTCTTCTTCTTCCTTTTTCTTCTTCTTCTTTCTTCTTCTTTCCTTTGGAGACAGGATCTCACTGTGCCACCCAGGCTGGAGTGCAGTGGCACAATCTTGGCTCACCATAGCCTCCACCTCTCTGACTCAACCAATATTTTCACCTCAGCTTCCCGAGTAGCTGGGACCCCAGGTGCATGCCAACAAGGCTGGCTAATTTTTGTCTATTTTTTTAGTGACAGGGTTTTGCCATGTTGCCCAGGCTGGTCTCAAACTGCTGGGCTCAAGTGATCTGCCCACCTCAGCCTCCCAAAAGTTCTGGGATTATAGGCATGAGCTACCATGTCCAGCCATAATTATTATTTTCAAGGAAGGATAGAAACAGAAAAATTCATCTCTTTTACTGATGATTAAATATTAAAATAGTAGCAAGGCAAGTGCAAAATTCACATCATGAGTTTAACCTCTAAATATTTATTACACTAAGTCACCCTTCCACTTAATGGTTGAATTCATGTGAGTCACCCCATGGTACAAATCTCTGTCTGAAACGCAAACATTTCCTTGCCTCCAAAACAACTTGAAATGTCATAGCACAGAGTAGGCACACAAAAAAACGCAATCATACAAAGGAAGATCAATAAAACATCACCAATTGTCCTCAACCGGAATTGTATGGTGTTTTCTTGACAATTTAAAGGCTCTTTAAATATAGACGGGCATTGAATATCACAGGCAAGCATTAGGAGTAAAGATGGAGATGTTTCATTAAAAACCTAGGGCTACAAAAAAGATTTAAAAAAATTTCAAGATGAGTTATGCCATATTTTTTTGGCCTACATAATTGAACAAGAGTTTTTCTAGTGGTGACAAAAGTAAAAGATGTAATACACACTAATCTCACCAAGAAAATAAGAAGCGAGGAGAAAAGAGGTGCTAGACATGTAGGGTGTCAAACACAAGAGAGAACACTGAGCAGACAAGTTTCATGGATTCTAAATTAAACTATTGATGGAACAGGCTGCTGAAATTTTTTTCTAATTACCAAGTGTTAGTATGAGTTGGTGAAGAAAGGAAAAGACTGTATTTCCTGGTTCTATTTTCTAGGATTTTCAAAGGCGATTTCTCTACTTTTATTTGGAACCATTTCCCAGTGTGGAAAACCTTTCCTAACAAAAAATAGTCTCCAAATCTGTACACATGACCATTGCTTGGAGAAAGGGGGTGGGGAACCCCCCCATAACCTCACCAACCACGGAGGAGGAACGCGGGGAGCAGCAGGAGGAAGAGGTAACTTCAAACCCACTTGGCAATCTACGTGTACACAGGGAGATTAGACTTTGCCTTCTCATTTCATACTTAGCCACACAGCTTGTCATTTGTATCCAGCACCAGCTTGTAATGTAGTAGATGAGAAGAAGTGAAGATGAAGTTCTTGTTCCCGGATGGGAGACAACTGACCTGTTACATTTCAGCACGGTCAGAGTTGTGCCTAATTAACGAAGCCCACCAGCAGCAATCATTTCACATTTTATTAACAGCTTGCTGGCAAAGACATTTGAAAGTGAAATTTTATTCACACGGACATGAGGCCAGAAGAAAAGAACGGTGACTCGAAAATAAAATGGAAAGACTCACGATGTTACAGAGAAAACAAAAATACCATTCTAAAGAAAGAGTCTGAACCAAACTACAGTATTTTAAAGTCTGAAGCGTCCCTGTTTGACAATTGTATGTTTACAATAAGCCCAAACATAATTGCTCTGATGGGCTGTCAGGGAAAAGATTAATTTGGCAAAGATTAGTATTGACTTGCTGTTTATTAAGGCTTTTAAACAG